CATGCAAATTTTTAGTCTTTATCCTCATCTTCTCATAAAAAGAAACTTTGGTAGCTCAATGTTTTTGATAATGTTTTGATTACAAAGGGTTTACATATATCTCTAGAACACTGAGAAAGTGAAAATGAGTATTATGGGCTTTATAAGTAATTCCTGCCTCCTGGGGTACAACCAGTAGGAAGAAAACCCTCCGCCCTGGGCCTTATTAGGCTCATACCAGGACTGAGATTCACACACAGGCACTCATCCTTGAAAGAACCAGGGTGAAGTGGGATGGGAACAGGAGAGCCCAGACAAGATTGAACTGGAGGAGTTGGCCACTAAGCAGCAGTAGCTAAGCCTTTAGAAGTTCTGACTGTCTGCCAGCCTGGTTTAAGTACTTTACACAAATTAACACACTTACTGATTAAGACCTCTCTGGTGCATAGTCAGTAAAATATTTGGCTACTAACCAGAAGGTCAGTGTTTCAAACCCACCAGCTGCTCCACAGGAGGAAGATGAGGCAATCTATTTCTGTAAAGATTTACAACCTTGAAAATCCAAAGGGTGTTGCTATGAGTTGGAATCGACTTGATGCAGTTGGTAATGAGGTATGGAAGGAACCTTGGTGGTTCAATGGTTATGCACTTGGCTGGAAACTGAAAAATCTGTAGCTGGAACCCACCAGGGACTCTGTAGGAGAAAAGACCTGGTAATTTGCTCATGTAAAGATTACAGCCTAGGAAACCCTATAAGGCCAGTTTTACTCTGTCATGTAGGGTCAATAGGAACTCTGGTGGCATAGCGTCTAAGGCATTTGACTGCTAACCAGAAGTTTGGTGGTTCAAACTCACTAGCCACTCCTCAGAAGGAAGGTTGGGCAAGCTGCTTCCGTAGTGATAGAGCCTGGGAAACCCAAGGAGGCATCTCTATGAGTCGGATCCGACTGGTCAGCAGTGAGTTTGGTTTGGTTATAGGGTCATATGAGTCAGAATCAATTTCTTGGCACACAGCAACAACAACAGTGAAGTGCAGATAAAGACAATGAGCACTTTACTTCATACGGCTTGTAAATGAAGGAGCTAAGATTTCAATCCAGGCAGCCTGGTCCCAGAGTTGACATGTGATTAACTCTCAGAGGCTTGGAGGTGGAATTGGGAGGGCTCACATTAGTGGAAATGACATGCTAGGGAGCCCACTTACTTGGAAAAGGAAGAGATGGAGCAGCAGCGCCCCCTGCAGTTACTATGAAGTATACTTAAAAAAACAAACCAAACTCAGTGCCTTTGAGTCAGATCTGACTTATAGGGACCCCTCCTTGTTTTTCCTAGGCAGTATCACTATGGAAGTGGATTGCCCAATCTTCCTTCCTTGGAGTGGCTGGCAGGTGTACTTAGCATGCTTCATTTTCTTGGAGAACCTCTTAAGCTAACAGGGCATTTGGTACATCTTCACCTTACCCTCTTTGTTTAAGAAACCCAGGGCATTTGTGGTGAGCACACAGTGAGGACCACAGTTTGAGGTATTTGTGCATATAGTAGCATCCCAGATGACTTTATGCAAGTGCTGCTCAGAATTCATAGGAAATTCCTGAAAACATCAAAGCCTTTAAGATTTAAACAAATAAAATTCAGATTCAAGGCTGATAGCATGGGAGCTATGTGGGGACAGAGGGAACCTACACAACCTCAGGACAGGTCTGTGGACTGCCCACACCTACTGCTGAGTCCACTTCTGTACATGTGTAGGCAACATTGTAATCCCCTTGGCCCAGAGAGAAGGAACCATATTTTCTGATATTCATTTCCTTTCTCTATTTCTTCTCTCTCATTCCCTGTCTCTCTCCTTTGTTCTTTCCTTCCTAAACATTGGTAGAGCATCTTCTAGGTTCCAGAAGGCACAGGCTTGAGGGAGATAAGGATATAAACATGACCTGAGGTTTTGCTGATATCTCTCTCAATAGAGGCAACAGATGGTGAAACCTAGGGGCAGAGGATTGGAGATGGGAAAGCTTCTCACTGTGCCTGCCCCTGGATAACACGATGAATCAAAAATGAAACCAAAAACCAAAAATGCACTGCCATCGAGTTGATTCTGACTCATAGCGACCCCCAAGGTGGTAAATCTTTATGGAAATAGATTGCCTTGTCTTCCTTCCATGGAGTGGCTGGTGGGTTTGAACTGCCAATCTTCTGGTTAGCATCAAATGCCTTAAGCACTAAGCCACCAGAGCTCCTTTGATGATCCAGATAAGATAATTGTTAACAGTTACCAGGTACCATAAAATAGAAAAAAAAAAAAAAACTAGAAAAGAATGAGCGTTAGGTAGAGAACCATGCTTGATTTGAAAAATAATTGATTCATTTGATTGTAAAATTGCATTATTTTCTCAGCTGTACACTTATCAGGAAGGAACAAGGGCATTTCCCCTTATCCTCTCAAGGGTGGATTCATGTTTCTAAGATACAGGATTCCTGTGCTTCAGGAGAGAGAATTAGGTAACTTTATTTATTTATTTTCCACCTCAAAAGACCAGCCCCAAAGCTAACCTGGGATGTATTTGTGTTTAGTCTATGCTCTGTTTTAAATGGAAACAATTGCAAAATGAAAAACTGTGAATATTATCACAAAAATAAGAGCTTTCGTCTTTTTTTAAAGAAAAATTTGGCAGTTTCACCAGCGTTTCCAAGGGAAGCAACTGGCTGACGCTAAATAGAGATCCAGTATCTCCACTTGGCCACAATTTCCATCACTCTTTACTGCTTCCTGACTCTAATTTCAAGTGCCAGTTGCCTTCTGTCATCTTCTTCTTCTTGATCTGCTTCAAACACTTACAATACTTGCATCTCTAGTTCAAAAGCCTGAGGGTACCCAGGGCTCCACCTGAAAGGAAAGTTGGTTTAGCAAGGGTTAGGGATAAGGAGCTCTGGTGGCATAGTGCCTAAGGCATTTGACTGCTAACCAGAAGGCTGGTGGTTCTAACCCACCAGCCACCCCTCGGAAGGAAGATTGGGCAATCTACTTACGTAGTGATACTGCCTCGGAAACCCAAGGTCTATGAGTCAGATCTGACTCAGTGGCAGTGAGTTTGGTTTGGTTTGAGGGAGGTAGATGGTGGTAGGGTCCTGTGAGAAACCTAGCATGGATCAGGTAACAAGTCTTCTAATAGTGCTTAGGTGTGTGGGTATCTCAAGAGTCCTGTCAGGATGGACACAAGGGAAGGATGGCCGAGGGCAGTGGAGCTGCCTCATTAGACTTGAGCATAGCAGCTTGGGCAGTGAGCATCTCATGAACATTCATGATGGACTGAAGAGCAGAGATCCTTTCTCAATGTCTCTGAATTGTTAAGTGCCATAAGTGCTGGTGGGTTTGAACTGCCACCCTTCTGGTTAGCAGACAAATTATTTTCCACTGTATTACCAGAGCTCCTTAGTTCCTTTATTAGGGTGGGCACACACACACACACATTGAAAACACAGTGGAGGTTAGTGGGAGTCCTGGAAGAATGATTTAGTGGGGGGTGGGGGAGGGAGAGCTGCAGGAAGTTTCAATTAGACAAAAATAAGTTTTACATTTCTTGTACCTGAATATTATCACACATAGTTTAATTAATATGAAATAGTCACAACTTCCCTATGTGATGGGATTTCACCTTATAAATTGAGTCAAAACCAAAAAACCAAACTCACTCCCATGGAGTCAGATCCTCCTCCTTGGGCTTCCCAGGTGGTATCACTATGGAAGTAGATTGTCCAGTCTTCCTTTTGAGGACTGCTGGTGGGTTTGAACTGCCAACCTTCTGGTTAGCAGTCAAATGCCTTAGGCACTACACCACCAGAGCTCCCATAAATCTAGTATTACCCATTAAAAACCTCCCACAATACATTTCATTATTTACCCGGTCATGAAATTTCATTAATTCACTTATGTATCCATTCATCAGAACAAGATGTAGTCCTAAATTCTTCTAGTTCTTGGTAGTGACTGGGTGGGAGGTAGGGAACTGTTGTAGAGAGAATATTGACTAAGAACAGGAAGTTTGGATTTTTAATTCCATTTATAGTTTTCAATTGCTGAAAACTTTATGGCAACTTTATGACAGTCACTTAACCTTTTCTGGACTTCAGTTTCTTCGTTTGCAAAAGGGAGCTAAATTATCTTCAATTTGCTAAAATACTTTGCTGAAGAAAAAAGTATACATTTGGATGGAAATGCAGTGTTTCTTGTACAGGAAAGCAGAGCTAGTTCCTTTACTAAAAACTGAAAAACCAAACTCACTGCCATCCAGTTGATTCTGACACTTAGGGACCTCCACTGGTCTTCTGAGGCTGTAAATCTTTATGAAAGTAGATTGCCCCAACTCCCTTCCTTGGAGTGGTGGGTTTGTACCACTGATTAGCCCCTAAATTCTTTATCCTCTACACCACCAGAGCTCCTTCGTTCCTTTATTAGGCTTTGGTTTCCCTTCATGTAGTTATTTCAAGAAATGAGAGTAAAAATAGATTCTATTTTGCCCCAATGGGTTTACTCACCTAAGATTTGGCATACAAGAAACATAATTAAAAAAAAAAAAAAGTAAAAAGGCTTAGTTGGAAGAGTAGGAGGCCAGTGACTTTCTGTTAAAAGCAGTTGGTTTTACTGTTTCTGAGTCTAGGATTTACTATGGAACCCAAAGTCAATTGAGGGTCCTTGGAAAAGAAGAGACTGTAAGAACATTATGCATTTGGGATAGTGGGTTTATTATCTCTATACACAAGAAAGTGTTTATTGATACTTTGTTGAAAATAAAGGGCAAGGTAACAAAACTCATTTAAGCATGAAAACAAGATAATACTGAGTTTAGACTAAAAAGAACACAGAACCGGAAATGGCGGCTTTCAGGCTGGCAATTTGGGCAGACAATCAAGAGCACTATACACTGCGAGCAACACAAGACAACTAAACACAATCAACCAGGCAGTCTCTCATGAGGGATAGAGGAAGGCTTACTGGGGCTGGGGGTCTCTGAGGAGAAAGGATACTAAAATCTCATAAACCCTCCATATCTTTTTCCCATTTCGGGAACTTCTTTTGAGTAATTCTCCCCTTCTTCATCAGAAGGCAGAGAATCTGCAAAGCGTTTCAGGAAGCCTCCATACCGTTTCTGGTAGTCCATCCACCACTCAGGGCGACCCACCCTTCTCATGAAGCCGCCATATCGCTTCTGCAGCTCTTTGGCTTCATCTTCCAGTTGAGTGCTTCTTTTTAGACCTCTCATGAAGCCTCCGTATCTCTTGCTAACTTCTTCGTCATTGTCACTGCCCTCGTGCTGGGGGCCACCCTCTTGGCTGTCTTCTGTTCCTAGCAGCTCTCTCAGCAGATCAGAGTTGTTGGTGAGGGTGTCCTCCTTGGCATCCTTCTTCATAAAGCCCCCATATCTCTTGGCAAGGGTTTCCCCTTCATTTGCCTCTTCCTCGGGCTCCATGGGATAAAGCTCATCCATTTTCTTCATGAAACCTCCATATCTCTTCATGAAGCCACCATACTTCTTGGCCAGCAAATGGCTCTCCTCCTGTTTGCCGTTGTCTCGCAGGGTGTTGGCGCCATCTTGAGAAAGCTCTAGTTTGGACAGCTGCAGTAGCTCTTTACAGGCTTCCCACGTTTTCAGAGAAGGCAATTTTCCTTCACATTCCAGTATGCAAGCCTGGAAAAATAATTCAATCGAATGATAAAAAGCAGTTTCTCTGATTTCATTAAGTAAACACCTTTTTTGTGGATCGCATTATGCTCAACTCCTATGGACCCTCCCATATAATAAAGTCATCCACATATTCTTATTACGCTTTCTCATCATACTGGACAGGCAAATGAAACAAAAACTGAAAGAGAGGAAGAGGCGGACTAATTGAATCAAATTAGAAATTTGATTCTGGATTTTAAGAGATTATATATACTGTGTCATGTCAATATTTTAAAATATTTTTCTCCATCCAGTTTTAACCTAGACTGGCTGCCTTCACAATCTAATTTCACTGGAAACATTTTCACTGCTTATTTCATTTTGCCTGAGATTTTTCTAACCAAAAGGGAGAAATTTCTTTATACCAAATTAGGTTCATTTCCTCTAATACTCCTTTTATGTTCTTAGTTTACAGATAAAATCAATACTAATAACATAAAGTTTGTTTTGTTCCTTGTATTAATATTTTATCTGGAACAGTATACAATATTCCTACTAATACTTTTAATCTTTAAAGAAAACAACAATTTCAAAATGAGTATGGAAAGAGACCCTAAAAATTCCATTTAAATCCAATGTTGTGCTATGATACACTGATTTGTTGAAATAGAGATATTTTGATTTTCTTTTATCCTTGAGGAATTAAAACAGAAAGCTTATTTTATCATTGTGAGCTACATGTTCATAATGATAAGATGTGATATGAGTTACATACATGCAAATGTTCAAATTATTCATATTATTTTCTTAACATTTAGTCACTAGTGAGAAGAAAAAGTTTTTTCATGTGAGGATCATGTCATTTGATAAAACAGGAATGATTAGCATGCAATTATTTCCATTTTATTATACAATAATTTAATTGTAATTATTTTAAGAATTAGGGTATATATTTTAATGACATTGTTAAGATTTCCTTCTATTCAACAGATCACTTATGTATGATAAAAACATTACTAATACTGCATGAATATTTACTAAATCTTTATGATGTTTTTCTCAGCCCTCTGAAGCTATTTCTAGAATCTAGTTTGAAAATCCTTGATTTAGATGGAAAAATCAGGCCTTTTCTTGATATTTTAAAATATATGGATATATTAGTTGGTATATTAGTTTTATCTTTCAAGATAAAAGAAAATATTTTAATCCTGCAAAAACAATTATTTAGGGTGCATATTTAACCAGCTCTTAATAATTATTTAACCTTTATATTTAAGGAAATTAAATATGCAAGTATATTAAAATATCTAAATATAATCCAATTAAAATAGTCTTATTTTATTCTTGATAGCTGATCAAGAAATGAAAACATCCTTAATATAACTAAAATGTTCAAGTGGCATTTCTGTTCTAAAATGAAATTTAAATGATCTTTTTGCCAAAAATTAATGATGAATATTTTCTATACTTTTACCAAAACTCTTTTTAATGTAGGTGATTTGGGGTTCTTTCCAAACAAATGGTGACAAGTAATCACAGTAACAAAGTCATATTAAATAATTGATGCTAATTTAAGAGTTTCTATAGACATGTATGCATTTATTCCAGTATTTGTCACCCTATGTTCTATGGTCCAGATGACATTAGAGGGTAAATTTCCCTTATTAGAAGGTAAGCCTGCTTCAATGTGGCAAGACTGCTCATCTTTGCATCCTCCACAGAACCAAGCAGAAGTGTTTTTTACAAGATTAAAGTTCAGCAAAAATTTATTACATTGCTTTTACTGTATTTTATTTTTGGGGTAGACATCCTCATTTCCCATTTTGCATCCTAGCTAAAATTTCAGAACTTCTGTAGTTCTAGTAACAAATCATTTTGTCACAGAGAAAATAACAACATTAAATGTAAACTTCAACACAAAACACATCAATTAGTTATATTCAAGAAGCCTTCCTAAGAAACTGCCTTAAAAAAAAATTATGATTCCTTGTTCTCTCTCTTTTTCCACCCTTCACATTGGTTATGTTGCATGGAGCATACAGCATCTGGCTAAAAACAACAAAAAGCTACAGCAATAAAAATGAGAACCAGTGAGGAGAATTTTGGAAAACGTAGTTAATATCCCGCAAAAAATCCTGTTAAATAATGAGAAGATGGTGGAGAGAAGGGAGAGAAATTAAAATTTCTGGTGATATCCAGGGAAGGACTATCTGTCATAAAATGAGTGTTGCTCAAATTCTTCTATAATGGTAAAATAAGATCAGTAGCATTTTGGAAGCTTCGTGAAGAGAACAGATTATATATGAAAAAAAAAATTGAACAAGCACTTTTAAATGTCAGTCAGTTATATTAATCCACTGAATCACCTAATTTAAGTAAATCTATTTCTTTGAGGTCAGACTGATTTGAAGAATTCTACTATGAGTCCAAATCAAGTTGATGGCAGTGGTTTTGTTAGTGGGTTTACTAGGACCCAACTAATCTCTTGTTGTTGTTGTTGTTGTGTGCCATCGAGTCGGTCCCGACTCATAGCGACCCCTCCTTGGGTTTCCGAGGCAGTATCACTACGGAAGTAGGATTGCCCAACCTTCCTTCCGAGGAGTGGCTAATCTTTTAGGACCCAACTAATCTCTTTGTGGGTGACAGGGAAAACTAGACTAGAGGGCTGCTTTTGTGTATTCCAAGCAAAGCTCCATGGCTAGGCTGGGGGATTTGGGATTCAGAAAGTGGGGCTTCTGGGTGGTACGTTCTGTGTTTCTCTCTGTTCTTTTGTGCACACTATCCTTTACCCATGATCTGTCCTTATATTTGTATCCACTAGCTCAATTTTCAGATAAGGCTTAAAACCTCTGACCTTGAGGGAGAAGAAAGGTGGATGAGGAGGACTATTTCCCGTGACTAAGGGGGACATGCTTATAGCTTAAATATGAAGCTGTGCTATGGATCTTCTCTCCAAGACCAAGTTAGCAAATCTGAAATAAAATGGATCCAGGTAATTGAAATAAAACAAACAAACATTCAATCTGAAATATATCTCTTGAAGTTTTTTGAATCCTTTCCTTATTTTCTTCTCCATTTAATGTATTTAAACCAAAAAAACAAACTCACTGCCATCGAGTCAGATCCAACTCATAGCGACCCCTCCTTGGGTTTCTGAGGCAATATCACTACAGAAGTAGATTGCCCAACCTTCCTTCCAAGGAATGGCAGGTGGGTTTGAACAACCAGCCTTCTGGTTACCCTTCAAGTGCCTTAGGCACTGTGCTACCAGAGCTCCTATTTAATGCATTTACATACACAAAATTTTATCAAAGACTCAAGTGAGCCTAAATGCTTGGAGTAATATATTTTCCTCTACCAACCTTTAAAGTCACCACAGAATTTCATTAAGCTGTGGAGTTGGTGCAAAAGAATCACTTAGGGAGTTAGTTACAGTGAAGATTCCTGGGCCCTAGATTTGGAGATTCTGACTCCACAGAGGGCCAGATTCAAGAGCAAATGTACTATGATCAGAATGAGAGTTTTCTTGTCATCTTTTATCCTAAACCTTTTAGACCTTTGGCATCTCTTCACTTGGCCATCACTTCTCTCTTGTACCTTTTCTTTTTATAGCAGAATTAAAACTGTTGTCTTAGTAGGTATTAGAAAAGTAGTTAAAACAAGACAGAAGTTAAATTCCAACATCACTTGGCAGGAAGACAATTTTGCTGACCTCTTGTATTTCCTGTGCAAGCCCCAACCCCTTTATCTTTCTGCCAACCCTTTGCTCTCTCTCTTGTCCACAGGTAAGGGTAAGGGCTTGAGGGACCTGGGATTAAAGAGTTGGAGAAGGGAAATGCGAAGACACTGTAATAAAAAATGATAACATTATCATCGTCAGGTTTCCCATGGGTCAGTTTCCAGGAAGGCTAGAAGGATGTGGTGTGTAAATGGGGCCTTTAGTGGGGGTGAGTTAGGAGCTGGGGTGACTGCGCATCTTCAGAGGCACCCATCCAGTGCTCTCCGAGGTGCTGAAGTGGGCATGTCCAGAGAGCCTGCATCCCTGGGGTTAAAACAAACAGGGTTGCAGTGGAGCCACTCGCTCTGACCCTTCCCTAGATAGCCTCAGGTCCCCGAATCGGAGAGCTTGAGCAGGAACTCAGCATTCTGGAAAGAGCCTGGACACCAAGGGTTCGCACTACCTCGGCTAGGACAGGGTATGACTTCCAGACGCGCGCCGCAGCGGGCCGGGTGTCAGCGGACTGGATGCAATTCGTTCTATCACGGCGCTTAACACTCACCAAGGGGTTGATGTCTGTCGGGCGTGCCAGGCGGTAGCTGCACGACGCGCAGTTCTGGCTGCATTCTGTCCGCACGGTTGTCAGGAGTCCGGGGCTGAGCGCCAACAGCCAAGTGAAGAATTTCAGGACTCGTGCCATGAACTGCAGGAGAGAGGGGCGCGCACTTCGAACCTGCTCGCAGGCAGAGCGACTTCCTCCGAGGGCGCTCCCGGCGCTGAAGGCTCAGCTGGGGGTTGGATGGGCCGAGTCCGCAGGGACCCTCCTTCCTGGGTCCCAGCCCACCCAGGCAGCTGCGTTTCGGGAGAGTCCCTGGACTGAAACCCAGCGATTCAGCTCGCCTGCGGGTTCCAGGTGGGTGCTACAGTCATCTCCCGTCCTGGGCCCCCCAGGTTCCCGGACACCCTACTGTTCCCTAGCGTCCGCTGCCAGGGACAGGATTCTGGAGGGAACAGCAGAGACCAAGTGCAAGGGCGGGCGCCTGGGATAAGCCGCCGTAGGATGCGCTACATTGACCTGGCCCCAAAACAGGGACTAGGAGAAAGTCGTGGAACACTATACAATGACATGCAGCGTGAAATCGAGCAGGGAAAGGGTCCCCAAACATGAGAGCTTAGGGCAAGTTAACTCACGCTTATGCTCTTCGGTTCTTCCGGAGCAAGCAGCAGCGCTGGTCGGCGACACCAGGTCCCAGGAACGACTCTGGAGGGGAGAGGAGAAGAGCTCACCAGTGAGGAGGACGCCCCGGGCAGGGTTGGGGGTGGGGAGGGCCGCAGGCGCAGGCCTCACCTGGCCGCGTGGCGCGCTGCGGCCGGGCTCCCAGCGCTGTCTCGCTCGCTAGCCTCGGTGTCGCCTGCTGGAGGCTGCTTGGCCACTTTATAATTAGCCGCAAACCGAGGGAGGCGGAGCGCCCCAATAGCCGGCGGGCTGCGGTGACGCAGGCCCTACGCCAACCCTCGCGGAGGGGGCCCGCCAGCTGCGTTGTCTCTAGGCCAGGGCGGGGCGGGGGCGGCACCTGGGGCTCACACCAGGACAGGTGATGGACTTTCCTACCCGGAGCCCAGAGCAGTTAGATTTGGGGAAAGGTGGGGGCGGCATCCAGATCTACAGGATACAGTGCAGGGAGGCACCATGGGGGTGTGGGCTCCAGGAAGGGAACCCGAGGGGGCCTTAGGAGGACAGGAGGACTGGCTTAGATTTCTGGAATGTGCTGGAGACCCTCAGAGCTAGTGAATCTGCCCGCCGCCGCCTGCTCCCGGGATGCTCTCCCTTGTCCTCGACGGTATGAAGTACAGTCATCCTGTCTGTCATCATATATCCATTGTCTAAAGGAGCTCTAGTGGTGCAGTGGTTAAAGCATTTGGCTGCTAACCAAACGGTTGGTCCTTCCAACCCCCCCCCCCCAGCTGCCCTGCGGGAGGAAGATGAGACAGTGTTTCCATAAATATTTACAGCCTTGGAAATCCTAGGGGCAGTTCTACTCTGCCTCATAGGGTCGTGAGGAGTCGGAGTCTATAGGGCTGCAGTGTTTCTTTCTTTTTTTCTTTGCCTAACCACTGTCTGTATTCAGCACTTGACTGAGGTTCCAGCCTGTGTCGTCTAACTGCGCGTAGTTCGTACATGGTAAAAGGAAAGTGCAGCTTTCTGGGATTCTTAGAATTTGGGGGTAGCTTTTCCTTTTCTCTTTAGTGAAATCCTTGGCCACATGTCAGCGGGTAAAGATAAAGTTCTAGAACCGCTTTCAGTGCAGGACTGCGCCCGTCCACAGCCCGGGGCGCTGGTTCAGCAAGCGCGGTCTGGGACGCGTTTATCCAGCTCCTCAGACAGAGCTCCCAGGCCTGCCGGGTCGGATGAGGTGGAGAGGTGTCCTGAGGTGTCTAACTAGTGACGGATACCAGGGCGGGAAGATGTCAGCGCGCCAGGAGTGTGGGGGCGAGTGTGGATGAGGGACGGAGCTACAGCGACGTGACACTTCTCAGGGAGGGGGCTGAGAGTCAGGCGGAGGCTGGGGCTGTCGTTGGAAGAACAACAACTTGGCCCTCTTCCTAGCTCTGAAAACTTGCCAAGTTACTTACCTTTTCTAGGGCCTCCGTTTCCCTATTTGAAAGTAGGGACCGAGGTAGTATGGGATTCATAGGGTTCCGGAGAGAATAAAATGAAATAAGGGAAGAAAACACTTAGACTCATGCCTGTCGTCACAGCAAGCTCTCAAAACGTGTTTTTAACTGTCATCTATGTTTCCATCTGTCATCCGCCTATCATACATCTATCGTTTATTTACTATCCATCTATGTATGTATCTAGGGTACAGCTGTCTCCTGACACTAGAGGAAAGCGACAAACAGTTCTGGAGCCCATTCACACAGAGAGAATCCTAGGGCGGTAAAGCAAAGGAAAGCCTCACATTTCGTCCTTCAAGGGGACACCAGTGAGGCGCGGGGCGCCTCTCAAGCTCCGGCAGAGCTGAATCGCCCATTTTGGCCGCTAGAGGGCAGCGCTCTCCTGCGTAGATTTGGGCGCTCGGACCTGGTCTGTTAGCTTCTAGACATTTCTCACCTTGCTGGCTCCGGACAACTGACCTGGAGACTCTGGGGAGCTGCCTCCTTGGCTTGGGCAACCCTGCAGCCCAGAGGAAAGCAGGTGCTGTCGGTGGGGAGTGAGGACATCTCATATAGCTCTAAGGAGCCAGCACTGACTTTTACAGGAAAAGCACACATTTCCCTATACTTTTTAGGCTCTTTACCTAAGAATGTTTTCTTTATCCTTATCTCTCCCCAACAGAAACTAAGGCTGCCATATGTTGTCTGTCTGCACTTAAAAGAGATTCCCCCCTGTTGCCTAGGTTTGTAAAGAAACGTGACTACACTTGGAGTACTCTGTGCAAAACTCCTGTCTAACAAAACGCTTGTGCTACATAAGACACCTGAATTCACTCAAGATTTGCCTCCATGTCATAAGGGCAGGAAGGCGTGTGTAGGGAACAACATGGGAACCCCATGTTTCTTAGGGAAGACTCTTTAGGATCTTGGAATAGTAACAGCTTAAGTCTGGAAGAACTTTGGGAATTAATTCATTTCAGTTCCTCATTTTATAGATGGGGAAAATGAAGCTCAGAATGCCTGAGCAACCAGCCCAGTTAGTGGCCAAACCAGGTTTGCCGACATCTCCCCTGGGAGGCCCCCTGGCACCTACCTAAGTACTGGTTTGTTTCTGTTAGAACAATTAATGTCTGGACTGAATGAATTTCTCTTGGTGGATCTGTATTGTTCTCTTTGCCTCTTCATACGTCAAGGGAGAAAGGAAGAGATGGAATAGTGGGCACCTCCTAGGAGTGGTACAAGTTTACTTAGTCCTCAGACCTACGTTACTTAAGCTTGAGATGTCACCCTCTCACCTCCTTTGCTAAGTCCAACTCAGAGCTACCCCATGTGTCACACAGTAGAATTGCTCCATAGGGTTTTCTTGGCGTTTCCATTTATGGGAGTAGATCACCAGGCCTTTTTTCCACAGTACTGATGGGTGGGTTTGAACCACCAATCTTTCTGTTAGTAGCTGAGAGCGAACCATTTGTGCTATCCAAGGACCTGCTTGGACTAGTAGGTGATGGATTAATCAATGTGTATTGACAGACCTTCAGGAATGAATGAATGAATGAAAAAGTGAGAGGGGCACCTTATCTGATGTCCCTCCCTCAGTGATATCTCTTCCCATCAGCTTCCTCCATCTACTCTGGAAGCTAAAAGTGACAGAATTTGGTACAAGCATGCTTAGAGATATTGTAGGCTTGGTTCCAGACCACTGCAAAAAAACAACTATTACAATAAAGCAAGTCATACAAATTCTTTAGTTTCCCAGTGCATAGAAGAGTTATGTTTACACTATCCTGTAGCCTATTAAGTGTGTGTAGCATTATGAAAAAGTTTGAAATATTGTGGGAATTACCAAAATGTGACACAGAGGCAGGAAGTGAGCACATGCTGTTGAAAAAATGGAGCCAGTAGACTTACTCAACAAGGGTTGCTAGAAACCTTCAATTTGTAAAAAATACAATGTCTGTGAAACATAGACATTTATATTTGAACAATGGCATTGAGTTGTAAGTTATTTGTGTTTTCACAATCCTTTATATATATATATATATATATATATATATATATATATATATATATATATTTGGTGATCTGAGTGAAAATTTATAGAACAAATTCAACTTCCACACAGCAGTTCATACACATTTTGTTTCATGACATTGATTGCAATCACCATAATGTAATGGCTCTCTTCCCACTTCCTCCTTGTGGTTTCCTTTTCCCTGTGTCCTTCTTTCTTAGGCATTCCTGCCCTCTGAACTATTTCCAGGTACAAATACTGGCCTTCTGATCTCCCATTATCGATTGTTCTAAGAAGTATACCTACTTGATGTAAATATTCAGCTTATATGCTTGCTACTGTTTTGCTGGAAGCTATGGGAGTGAGCTGAATTTCAGGCCTGAGGCAGGACTAGGGGCCATAGTCTTGAGGGATTCACCAGTCTCTATCAGATCAGCAAGACTGATTTTTTTTTTTTTATGAGTTTGAGTTTTGTTTCACATTTTTCTCCCACTCTATCCAAGATCTCCTGTACTAATCCCTTTCCAAGTGGTTGACAATAGTAGCCAGGCACCATCTAGTTCTTCTGCTTTCAGGGTCATGAAGCCTGAGGTTCATGTGGTTCACTGGTTCTTTAGACTAATTGTTTCCATGGATCTTTGTTTTTCTTCATTCTTCTTTGGTCTGGATGAGGAGAGACCCATCATTGCATCTAGATGGATGCTTGCAAACTCTTAAGATCTCAGTCACTGCTTACCAAAGTAGGATGTAGAACAATGTTTTTGTGTAGTATGTTATGCCAGTTGAGCTTGATGTGACTTTCAACCATGGTCCTGAGCCCATAGGCCCCCAAACTTGCTCCCTCAAGTTGACTGGCTGTGTCTAAGAAGTTATCATAACTTCTCCTGTCAGTTCTGTTTATATGGACAAGAATAAATAGATTTTGGGAGCCAGTGACCATACCTCCACACCACCACACCTGCTGCACCACCCACTTCAGCACCACTGGATAAACAATAGACAGCAGCCAACATTCACCCAGCCTGTCCTCA